AACTCACAGAGATCCTCCTGGCTCTGCCTCCCGAGTGCTGGGATTAAAGGCGTGCGCCACCAACGCCCGGCGGTTTTTTGTTTCTTAAATTTGTGGAACCCAGATCTTCCTTCATGTCGGGTAGGTCCCCCTACTGCTGAGCCCTGACCCTGCCCTCACCGGGGATTCTGTCTGCCCCTACTCCTTTCTCTTGCTCTCTGAACCTCACCAGCCCTCGCTCTTCCCGATGCTCACATGGCTCGTCTTATATTCTGTGTCCCTAGGACCAACTCCAACAGAAAATCATGTGTCCTGGGCCGGTCACCTGTCTGACCACAGCACCCAACGGCCTGTATGTCCTGGCAGGAATTGCAGAGAGCATCTACCTGTGGGAGGTGAGAAAAGCTTGTTACCTGTATGTGTCTCTTGGGAATGCTGGAGAGTAACCTGTGGTTAGTGTTCAGGCTGACGGAGGCAGGTGGCCTTGGAGATCTTTTTTTTTTCCCCTCAACACAGGGTTTCTCTGTGTAGTTTTGGTGCCTATCCTGGAACTCGCTCTGTAGACCAGGCTGGCCTTGAACTCACAGAGATCCTCCTGCCTCTGCCTCCCAAATGCTGGGATTAAAGCGTGCGCCACCACCACCACCGCCCTGCCAGCCTTGGAGATCTTACCCATGACTTCTGAGACCTAAAATGTGACCTTGTCTCTGGGGTCCTAATTCATCATGACTGGGGTGCAGCACACACCTTATCCTGAGGTGGCCCTGGTTCTGTCCCCAAGTGTATGGGAAACCAAGAAAGAAACTTAGAACAGGGAGCGTTCTAGCTTGCTTTCTCTTGACAAACCACTGACCAGAAGCGATGTAGGGGAGGAAGCTGTCTGTTTGGCTTATTATATTATGATGTTTTATTATATTATGATGTTATATTATATTACAGCTTATATTGAGGGAAGTCAGGGCAGGAAGCAGGAACTTGACAATATAACAGTTAACATCCTCCGCCAACAGCCGAGAGAACGCTCTTGTGGTTAAGAACACATGTTGCTCTTACAGAGGACCTGGGTTCGATTCCCAGCACCCACATGATGGCCAACGACCGTCCATAACGTCAGTTCTAGGGGATCTGACACCTTCAGACCTGGATGGGCACCAGGCATGTACCTCGTACCACATATATACATGCAGGCAAAACACTCATAAAGAAAATAAACCTGAGAAATACAGAGTTTTTAAAAACTATTGATCGGACTGGAGGACGGCTCAGCATAGAAGTACCCACCCACCGGCTGCTCCTCAGAGAACCCGGGTTCCGTCCCCCGCACCCACGTGGTGGCTCACAACTGTCTGTAGCCGCAGAGAACTCAGCACATTGATCTGACCTCTGAGGTCCCCTAGATACACAGATTTAACAATAAAATCTCTTAAAACATAAGATTATTGCCAGGCCGTGGTGGCGCACACCTTTAATCCCAGCACTCGGGACGAAGAGCCAGACAGATCTCTCTGAGTTCGAGGCCAGCCTGGTCTACAGAGAGAAATCCAGGACAACCAGGGCTACACAGAGAAACCCTGCCTCCAAAACCAAACAAAAAACCCACCACCACCAACAGAACCCGTACAGACCCTGTGGTAGCCAGCCACTTCCGTCTCGTAGTCATGACAGGAGATGCCAACGCCCTCACCCTGCTTCCCAAAGGGTCAGGTCAGTCTTCAGTCTTTTGTTGGCTCTAGCGGCCTGGCTCCATGTTGGGCCCAGTGAATGACCTTGGCCGTGAGTGAGCCTGGAGGAGTCAGGGTTCTAGGCTGTGGCCTGGCCCTCGGTGGAGGGTGCTGGCTGCACGGAGCTGAGGTCGGCCATGCTTCTGCCGCTCCGGTTTCATCTTCCTCCAGACCATCCCAGGCCACCATGTCATTCTGAGGCCAAGATTGTGAGGCTGGGAAGCCCAGGGTTTCATGGGCCCCACGGGAGGGATCCACCTAGACTGTGCAGCTGTGTACGAAGGGCACATCTGGACCGCCCTTTTCTGCGTTCTTGGGTCTCCTGTATGTGCACCCCGTGTGGAGGTGCACATGTCGGCCTCAGAGGGCAGCTTCAGGTGTTGGCCCTTGCCTTCCGTCTTGTGGGGACATGTGTCTCACCGTCCAAGCGTCCGAGCCTTCTGTCTGCGCTTGCCGCCTCCCTGCAGGGGTGCCGTAGACGGTCACTGCACTTCCCATGGGTTCTGGGGACTGGAGCACCACCGTCACCCCGAGACATTCCTTAGTCCTTGACTGCTTTGTGAGGCAGGGCCTCATGGAGCCCAGGCTGGCCTTGAACTCATCGTTAGCCCTTGAGTTCCAAATCCTCCTGTCACCACTCCCCGGTGCTGGGATGGCAGTGCCTGGCTGCTGTGGGGTGGGGCCCAGGGCTGCCATCATGCCTGTACTCGCCCACTGAGCTGATCTCTTGGTCCCCACCCACTCCCGCACCCCCTAGACAGGGTTTCTCTGTGCATCCCTGGCTGTCCTGGAACTCGCTCTGTAGACCAGGCTGGCCTCGAACTCACAGAGATCCGCCTGCCTCTGCCTTCCGAGTGCTGGGATTAAAGGTGTGCACCACACCCCGAATTCCAGCCTGCTTTTTTTTTTAAGATTTATTTTATGATTTTATGTGTAGAAAGTACGTGCACCACATTCATTCCCAACGCCCTCAAAGATCAGAAGAGGGCTTCGGATACCCTGGACTGGAGTTGCAGTGGTTGTGAGCCCCATGTGGGTGCTGGGAATTGAACCCCAGTCTTCTGAGGGGCAGTCAGTGCTCTAACCACTGAGCCCACCCTCCAGCCCAGCCTGCTTCCTTGTGCAACCCAGGACCACCTGTCAGGCTGGCACCACCCGCAGCGGGAGGGCCCATGTCAGTTATTTAATCAAGGAAATGCCCCACAGACTGGCCCCAGGCCAGCCCACCGGAGGCCACTTCAGGTGACTGGCTCTGGTTTGTGTCAGAAGCTGAACAGCTTGGGCACACCCCCACTCCTAGCTGGGGGCCTCCTCTTGCTGACGGCTGGCAGGCGGCTACTGCGCCACACTAAGGACTCTGAGCTGTGGCCACCAGGGGGCGCTGCACAGTCCCACAGATTCCTGGGCTCAAGGCTGGGGTGAGGAACTCAAGGGGACCCGGAAGTCTCTGCACCTGTAGGGCTGGCGAGAGCCACAGTCCCCTTGCCGTGTCAGTGTCTAGGAGGCCGTGCCCTCCTTCCCCGCCCTGCGTTACCCAGACGCCCAGCAGAAACAGCACCCCCTGGCCTGGAGCCGGGGCCTCACCGCCAGGGGCAGGGCTGAAGTCTCTCCCCAGCACAGGCCCGAGCTCTCCACACCGCCCTCCCTGTCCTGTGTGGGAATGGGCAGATCCTGGCTTTAGATCCCGGCGATCCAGCGGCAGCCCCACTCCCTGCAGGGACCTGTCGCTGTTGGCTTTGGTTTTCCAGTCGGTTCTCTGTAGCTGAGGTTAACCTCAGACTCGGCTGTACCTCAGCCTCCCAAACGGTGATGGACACGTGCAGCCGCCGCCTTCTGCTGCATTGTGATGCGCTGGACCTCACGCATGTGCCAGCAGAGGCCTCCTAGACATCCCCTGGATTAGCTGGCCTTAGATGAGACCAAGCTTGGGCTCCCCTGGGGCTCAGAGGACACGGGAAACTTGCATCCCCCTTTTCTGGGTACAGGGTGGGGGCACAGCCAGTCCTGGTCCTGGCCAAGTGCACGGTGACGAGGATCCTCACCCCACCCTGGTTCTGTCCACCAGTGGCCCTAGAGAAGGTGGGCAGGGTTCTTGTGGAGGGGTTCATTCAGCCTTTGTCACCCCGACCGGTGCCTGGTCTGTCTCAGGTCTCCACTGGGAACCTCCTGGTCATCCTCAGCCGTCACTACCAGGACGTGTCGTGTCTCAAGTTCACGGGTGACAGCAGTCACTTTGTCTCCGGGGGCAAGGACTGCCTGGTGCTGGTCTGGAACCTCTGCAGGTAGGACTCGTGCCAGGATCTTCACAGAAAGGCTCCGGGGGCCTCGGGGCAACTGTTGGGGTGTCCCGTGCGCGGGCTTGAGGCAGGCCAGTGACGTTCTCCGTGGCCTTCGCTCCTGTCCCCAGTGTCCTGCAGGCAGACCCATCCAGGATCCTCGCCCCAAGGCATGTCTGGTCCCACCACACGCTCCCGATCACAGACCTGCACTGCGGTTTTGGGGGCCCCATGGCCCGGGTGGCCACCGCCTCGCTGGATCAGACCATGAAGGTAGCGTCCCCAGCCTGGACCTATGGATTCCTGGCAGCCACTGGCTCTCAACGAGGAGAGGGGCAGACTGGCCTCCCCCTTGTGCTGGCTGCCTCAGTTCCAGACAGCCCATAATCCCTGTGCCCGACCAAGGACACCCAGAGATGGACGGCCTAGCCTGTCTGCTGGAAATTCCCACTCGGCCACGCTGCAGTGGCCGGCTGCCCTTGACGGTTTGAGCCTGTTTGTTTGTTACTGGCACCGTGTGAGATGAACCCAGGCCTCTCCCGGAGCCCCGCCCCCACCCTCTCATCCTGTTGTCAGACGTCGTCTTTCTTTCTGAGACTGTCCCTGCGTAGCCCCAGCTTCCCTGGAGCTTGGTATATAGACCAGACTAGCCTGGAACTCAGAGATACCCCCCTCCCCACCCCACCCCCACCTCTACCTAGGAGCACCTAACCCAGCCTTGGTGACTCCATTTCCCTGGCTGGGCTTGGGTCCTGCAGCCGCTGAGGTGCCCACACCCCCAGCCAGCACAGCCTGTGCATCTGTGGTGGATTTGGAGGCTTGTGGCATGGGCAGGGTGGTGCCAGGGCCCTCGGCCTTCCTGGCTCGCTGGCTTGGCCGTGTGCCCGGATGCCCGTGGTGCCCGGATGCCCATGGTGCCCGATGCCCATGGTGCCCGATGCCCATGGTGCCCGGCCTTCCATCCCTGCAGCTCTGGGCCATCTCCTCGGGAGACCTGCTTCTGTCTGTCTTGTTTGACGTGGGCGTCACTTCGGTGACCATGGACCTGGCCGAGCACCACGTGTTCTGTGGCGGCAGCGACGGTTCCATCTTCCAGGTCGACCTGTACAGCTGGGTGAGTGGCCGCCCGCGGGGCTGAGGGGCCACACGGCAGGGGCCCCCATCCCGGACACTGACCACCTGAGGGGCCACACAGTAGGGGCCCCCATCCCGGACACTGACACCTGTCTCCACTGACAGCCTGGACAGAGAGAGCACAGCTTCCGGCCCGAACAGAGCGCGGGGAAGGTCTTCAAGGGGCACAGGTACTCACCTCAGCCGGGGTGTGTGTATTTGTGTGTGTGTGTGTGTGTGTGTGTGTGTGTGTGTGCGTGTGCGTGCAGTCCGCACCCATGCCGCACCCAACCCCACCCTCCTGTCCCAGGAACCAAGTGACGTGCCTGTCGGTGTCCACGGATGGCAGCGTCCTCCTCTCGGGCTCCCAGGACGAGTCGGTGCGTCTGTGGGACGTGAAGAGCAAACAGTGCCTGCGGACAGTCACCCTCAAAGGTCTGCGCCGCGCTGGGTGAGGCCGGGCCCTGTCCCTCCAGCCGGGCCCTGATGTTGGGTTCTGGTGTGTCCCTCAGGTCCGGTGACCAACGCCGCCATCGTGCTGGCCCCGCCCAGCATGCTGAACCCCGAATTCAGGCCCAGCCTGCCTCTGCCCCACTTCAACAAGCACCTGCTGGGTGCCGAGCATGGAGATGAGGCCCAGGGCGGGGGCCTGCGCCTGCAGCTAGGGCTCCACCTGCAGGTAGGACCCACGAGGCCACTTCCAGAACATTCCATCCCCTGAGAGTCCCCCTAGTGCCCTTGCCGCCAGGTCATGGGCACCCGTCCCCACAGGTGACTTCTGTCCGAAGGCACACCGTGCCTCAGCCCACGGTCAGAAGGTGACCCGTCATATTGCTCACATTGCGTGATCAGGTCGCTTGGTTGATGAAGAATAGAGCAGGATAGACCCTTGGGGCAGCCTGCGGTCAGCAGATGGGGAGCCTTAGAAAGCAGCGGGGAGAGGCTTCTGCCCCGCCTTCGCACCCCGGCCTCAGTGGCTCCCGTGCGCCCTGGGCCAGGTCCGTGGCACCCCACATAGGCCAGGGTGTGTGGGGCCTTTCACGGTGGCGGACAGGCTGGGGGCCTGGTGTGGCCTGGCTGCCCCGTCCCGGCTCCTCCCCGGCTGTGAACCTGTGGAGGAGGCGGCTGCCCTGGGGGCCCACCGCCCTGGCGGCCCACACAGGGTGGCCATGCTGCTTTGCAGGGCACTGAGCAGACCTACCTGGAGCGGCTCGAGCGGCTGCAGGCGGTGCTGTCCAGCTACATGGCGAAGGTGGGTGGGGCTCCTCCGGCTGTGGGGCGGGGCCTGGTGGGTCAGGCCGAGGCAGCCCCGCCCACACGGCCCGCTCTCCGCAGAACATGCTGGGCAACCAGATGCTGCCCGCGCGCGTGCTGGAGCTGGAGGAGGAGGTGCGCAGTCTGCGCAAGATCAACCGCGACCTCTTCGACTTCTCCACGCGCATCATCACGCGGCCCTCCAAGTGACGGGAACACTTGCCATCGGCCTGTGGGCCGCTGTCTTAACAAAGAATGGACAAAGAAGCTGATGCCTCAGGCCGGGCGGTGGTGGCACACGCCTTTAATCCCAGCACTCGGGAGGCAGAGGCAGGCGGATCTCTGTGAGTTCGAGGCCAGCCTGGTCTACAGAGTGAGATCCAGGAAAGGGGAAAAGCTACACAGAGAAACCCTGTCTCCATAAAAAACAAAAAAAAAAAAAAAGAAGCTGATGCCTCGACTGTTCTGTCCCTGAGGGGCCGGGGCTTGGTTGGGGGGCCTCACACCTGGGGACCCTGGGGTAGGTGAGGGGCTGACGGTGCGGAGCCCCTGCTCACAAGGGCCAGCCAGGCGGCCGCCAGCCCCTCATGGGCGTCCATAGCTCAGTCTCCACATACTGCCCCGGGTCTGCTGCCAGCCGTAGCCTGGAGTTCAGCCCAGATACCCACAGAACCTTCCAGAAGGCCGCACTCAACTCTCGGCCCCGCCTAGCGATCCAGAAAACCGTGTGGTTTAGCAGAGTTGTCTCCCCGTAGCTCGGGCGGGAGCCAATGCTGACCTCACGCCTGAACCCTGTCGCTGCGCCCTCGGGACGTCCACCCCTGGGCAGCACCTGGTGGCGAGAAGTGACCGAACTCTGAGGAGCCACACTTTCCTCAGTTTACCCACTGAGCTGGCTCGTTGCCTGCTTGGCCCAGATACCCTGAGGAGCCCTCCCATCATTCCCTGGCATGTTGAGGTTTGGGGAGAGGGAGGCACACAGGGACCCTACCAGCCATGGGTTCCCAGCTCCCCAGAGGCTTCTGGAGACTTCCTAAGACTAGGGCGAGCTCAGGGTCCAGTCCTCGGGAGCTCATGTTGCCGCCTACGCCTGGGGTTCTGTGTGTGTGTGCGTGTGTGTGTGTGTGTGTGTGTGTGTGTGCGCGCGCGCGCGCCCTGCATTGCCACGCACCAAGTGCTCACCTGCTGTGCTGGCCTGAACTCGGGGATCCCCCTGGCCTAAGCTCCCGTTCCCCCATTGGTGCCTCCACTTCCCATGCTGGCTCCCCTGGGGTCATGAGAAACGAGAGTTGTCCTTGAGACTCAGCTGCCATAGTTACCAGGCTGGTTCAATGCCAAGCTACAGAAAGGTCCACGTTCCCAGTCTCATGAGCAGTGGGGCAGCCTGGACTAAGACCCCACAGACCTCATGTGACGGGAGGGACAGGGTGGAGGCAAAGGCCAGCACAGCCCCCGTGCCCACGGGAGGGAAGCGGACGCAGCATAGTCCCGCCGTGAAGTGTGGAGGGACCTTGAGGACGTGTGCCCAGTGAGAGCTGGCACCAAGTGCCACCCACTGCAGGACGCCGTGACACGGAATGTCCAGAACAGGGTTCTTGGGGATAAATTTGTACTTTGTGAGGCTCTCCCCATCCAAAAACAGTCTTGCTGCATTTCTTTTCATTCAGCTGGAGTGGCAGGTCCCATGGTAGTGAATCCTGACAGGCCTACAATCCAGCTGTCCCGTGTTCAGTGGACTGAGCAGAACTGACGTCCAGGTTTCTATCTGTAGACTGAAAGAGAACCCGCTGGCATTGTGGACAAGGGCAGATTTCAGGACTCCATCCAAGGGGACGAGGCTGGTGGGGAGAGTGCCCTGAGCATCCCTGAAATGACGTGGTGGCCCCAGCCCTGATGGACCCCTAACCTGATGTACCTTGGAGCCCTGGCCGAGCGCCCAGACAGCCTGCCATCCTCAGCCAAGCCATCTCATTAAAAGGCAGCTCAAAGTGCAGTCTGTCTTGCTGGCATTTTTATTTGCTTGATGGATGTTCTTCCTTTAATGCTGGCTCTGCAAGGAGAAGGAGGGTTTGGGGGTGGTGGGGTGGTGAGTGTAGATTCATTCATCAGGGCTGAGTGTTCCCTGCCGGCGGCCGCCGCCGCGCATGATCTTGGGAGAATGCCATATTTGCCCTGCCTGTGAGGACAGACCGCAGAGTTCCCAGCAGGAGCCTCCTTGCTGGGGAAGACCCTACAGGCCACACGAGAGGACCCCGAGTCAGTTGAGTTGGGTCCAAGACAACTGGGAGCTCCAGAGGGTTCTGGAGTGGTGGAGGGAAGTGTGGGCAACCGCTCAAGCAGTTATGGAAGGCCTGCTGCGGGCAAGCCCCTGAGAGGCAGGAGGAACTGACTGGGTCTACCCTTGTCCTCCCTGAACTGAGGGGCCAACAGGAGGAGGAGCCTGTGGGAGGGATGGTGTGTATTCTGGGTTTTTCACAGCAGGGCATTTGACACTGGATCTTGAAGGTCAAAGTTCTGGAGCCAGAAAGCTTGCTCTGTGGTCAGTTCTGACTGCTTTTGTAGAGAACTTGACTTTGGTTCCGAGCACTCATATCCAGCCCTAGGGGATCCAGTAGTCCCTGAGAGCACCCCCCCACCCCCCACCCCCCGCACAAGAACTGTTTAACCCCAGCACTCAGGAGGCAGAGCCAGGTGGATCTCTGAGTTCAGGGCCAGCCTGGTCTACAGAGTCCCAGACCAATCAAGGCTATGTAATGCAATCCTCTCTCAAATGAATACTACTAATAATAATAATTTTTGGTTTTTCAGGACAGGGTCGTCGTGTATCCCCAGCTGTCCTGGATCTCACTCTGTAGCCCAGGCTGGCCTCAAACTCAGAGATCCACCTGCCTCTGCCTCCCGAGTGCTGGGAGTAAAGGCGTGCGTCAATAATAATAAATATTTTAAAAGAGAACAAAAGCCCAAAAAATGGCTCAGAAGGTAAAGATGCTTGCTGCCAAGTCTGAGGACCCCACTTCGATCCTCAGGACCCACAGGGTGGAGAGGAGAGACAGACCCCCAAAAGCTGTCCCCACACTGGCTGTGGAATGCACCTTCCCCCAGAAACCCAAGACAAATACAGGGTTTTTGTTTGTTTGTTTTGTCTTTCAAGTTTGTGATTCAAGACTGCTGCCGGGGCTGGAGGGCAGATCTACCTTACAGATTTCCACCAGCTGTGCCTGCCTCAGTTTCCCCCAGGGTGCACACAGTTTTGAGCTAGTAGAGACTGCTCTGGGAGTTCCCGTCTGGGCCGTGAGAGGCATTACCCAACCGTGCCCTGCGAGCCACAGCAAACCCGGGCAGCTGCCCAGCTCCTCCTTCAGTGGACGCCGGGACCCGCAGGAGGGACGGGAGCGGGCTGTCCCGGGTGTCCCTTCTTCCCCGCGCACAGCGGCAACTTGGGGATGGAGTGTGTGCGTACGCTGTGGCTCGGCCTGGCGCTGGCGCTGGGGTCCCGGGTGGCGCGCGGTCACCCCCAGCCCTGCGGGGTTGCCACGCGTGCCGGGGGCTCCGGCGGCTCCGTGAGACTGGCTGCGCTCCTGCCCCGCGCGCCCGCCGCCCGCGCCCGCGTCCTGGCCGCCCTGGCCGCCCCCGCGCCGCGGCTGCCGCACAACCTGAGTCTGGAACTGGTGGCCGTCGCGTCCCCTGCCCGGGACCCCGCGTCGCTGGCCCGAGGTCTGTGCCAGGTCCTGGCCCCGCCCGGCGTGGTGGCCTCGGTAGCCTTCCCGGAGGCGCGGCCCGAGCTGCGGCTGCTGCAGTTCCTGGCAGCCGCCACGGAGACCCCGGTGCTGAGCGTCCTGCGGAGGGAGGCGCGTGCGCCCCTCGGAGCCCCGGTACGCGGCGGGCGGGCGCGGGGGGCCCTGGGGCGCGGGGATGGGAAGCAACCGGGAGCCCCACACTTCTCCAGCCAGGTGATGAGAGGACCCCTGTGCCAGCCCTTCCCTCGCAAGCACGCCTTGGCTGGGAGGGTGCGCCACGCTCCTCTCCCTGGGCTTAGCCTGTGTGGGAAATCCTCCCACAAGTCCATCTTTCCCTCCCAGGGGCCCTACAGGCCAGGAACTCCCTACCCACAGCTCTCTGGTGGCCTCCAGCCCCAGGGCAGCACCGGTCACCCCCCCTTCCGTGGGTCCCATCCTCGCTAGGTCTTTTATTATTATTTTTAATTACTTAATGTTTTGAGACAGCTTCTCACTGTGTAGACCAGGCTACTCCTGAACTCACAGAAATCCACCTGCCTCTGCCTCCGGAGCGCTGGGATTAAAGGCGTGCGTCATGACACCTGACTAGGTTGTTTCTTCAGATAGGGTCGCATGTATCTGCAAGGCAGGCCAACAAGAGGCCCCACCAGGGCTAGGGACCCTGGGACGTGGGAGACCTGAGGTCTTCCTCACTAACCTGTCAGGAAGTTTCATCCAGGGAGACCCTAGCCCCATGTCCCTGGGGTCCCTGACCCCCCCCCCCAGGACCCTTGGTCTAGCGGGAGCTCAGGACTCGAGCTGAAGCTGCCCCTGCTCTGGGATCCGCACCCACCTGTGCTTCCAGCCTCTGAGCCCGTCCTGGCTCCCCTGGGGTTAGCCTGGCCTCCCTCACAGAGAGCAGTACCCTCCTGTGGTCCTCAGCAACGTGCCCTGCTCGGCGGCACCCAGTGGTTTTTCGGTGTCTGCCAGGGCTGCCGTGTATTCCAAATGTGCAACACAACCCCCCAAGAACTTTCTGAATGTGCCAAGGGACTCCTGAGCGGGTGGGGCGGGACTAGGTCAGGACTGAAATGGGAAGAGACAGAGACACAGAGAGCAGAAACCCAAGTTCGGGAGAACTCGGGAGAGGTGCAAGATTCTCCCTGGTCTATAGAGAAGGGACGGCAGAGCTGGGTCTTGAAGGATGTATAGGAGTTCATCAACAGAGAGAGGGAAGGGTGCTGTAGCCGGTCCAAAGCTACATGTAAATAAAATAAAACACAGGAGGGCTGGGGGCAGGGTTCATTTGGTAAAACGCCCGAAGTCCTGGGTTCCATCGCAGCGTGGCATACACTGGAAGCAGCAGTACATGCTTGCCATCCCAGGGTGACATCCCAGAGGCAGGGGGATCACGGGTCCACGGTTGCCCTTAGTTACACAGCAAGTTCAAGATCAGCCTGAGGGGCGGGGAGAGCGGCACTGGGAGCCTCCGAAGGAGGCAGGGTGACGTCCAGCTCTCAGGCACCTTGACAGGGTGGGGTGGGTGGAGACGGTGCTGCGGACACAAGGGTCACCAGCCCTGACTGGAACCTCCTCTTCCCAGACTCCATTCCACCTGCAGCTGGACTGGGCCAGTCCCCTGGAGACCATCTTGGACGTGCTGGTGTCCCTGTCACAGGCACACGCCTGGGAGGACATTGCTCTGGTGCTCTGCCGCGTCCGGGACCCTGGTGGCCTCGTAGCACTCTGGACTAGTCGTGCTGGCCAGGCCCCGAAGTTCGTGCTGGACCTGAGCCGGCTGGACGGCGGCAACGACGGCCTCCGGGCGGGGCTGGCCCTGCTGGGGGCCCTGGAGGGAGGGGAGAGTCTGGTGTCCGCAGCCATCCTGCTCGGCTGCAGCGCTGCCCGCGCGCACGAGGTCCTCGAGGCCGCGCCACCGGGTCCCCAGTGGTTACTGGGCACACCGTTGCCTGCCGAGGCGCTACCCACAGCCGGCCTGCCGCCTGGGGTACTGGCCCTGGGAGAGGTCAAACGACCCTCACTGGAAGCTGCCGTCCACGACACGGTGGAGCTGGTGGCCCGAGCACTGGGCAGCATGGCCCTCGCACACCCAGAGCGTGCCTTGCTTCCAGCTGCGGTCGGCTGTGAGGACCTGAAACCAGCTGGAGCCGAGTTGTCCGGGCACACCTTGGCTCGGTGAGTAGGGTCCAGCTTAGGGCAAAGAGGCCAGGCCCACAGCCTGGCATTGCCCCCTGTGTGTAGGGGGTGGGTGCCCCAAAAGGACTAGAACCGCGAGGGTCGGGTGGTTGTCCCTGCATCCTCAGGAGTAGCGCTCCCGCGTGCTAGCTGAGCGAGAGGCGGGTCTCTCAGATCTATGACAATCCCTACCCTTTATGTTCCCCAGATTTCTGGGCAACACCTCCTTCCAAGGCCGCACAGGGGCCGTGTGGGTGACAAGATCCTCTCAGGTGCACGTGTCTCGGCATTTCAAGGTGTGGAGCTTGCGCCGTGACCCACTGGGCGGCCCAGCCTGGGCAACAGTGGGCAGCTGGCAGGATGGACACCTGGACTTCGAGCCGGGGGCAGCGGCTGTCCGTGTCCCGTCTCCATCCGGCACCCAGGTGCGGCCGAAGCTGCGGGTGGTAACTCTGGTGGAACACCCGTTTGTTTTCACCAGGGAGTCCGATGAGGACGGGCAGTGCCCCGCTGGGCAGCTGTGTCTAGACCCGGGCACCAATGATTCGGCCAGGCTGGACGCGCTGTTCGCGGCGCTGGCCAACGGCTCAGTGCCCCGCTCGCTACGGAGATGCTGTTACGGCTACTGCATCGACCTGCTGGAACGACTGGCCGAGGACCTGGCCTTCGACTTTGAGCTCTATATTGTGGGGGACGGCAAATACGGGGCCCTGCGTGACGGACGCTGGACGGGCCTGGTGGGCGACCTGCTGGCCGGCCGGGCACACATGGCTGTGACCAGCTTCAGTATCAATTCGGCTCGCTCCCAGGTGGTGGACTTCACCAGCCCGTTCTTCTCCACCAGCCTGGGCATCATGGTGCGCACGCGAGACACGGCCTCGCCCATCGGCGCCTTCATGTGGCCGCTGCACTGGTCCATGTGGGTGGGCGTCTTTGCTGCCCTGCATCTCACAGCGCTCTTCCTTACCCTGTACGAGTGGCGAAGCCCCTATGGGCTCACGCCTCGGGGCCGCAACCGCGGCACCGTCTTCTCCTACTCGTCCGCTCTCAACCTCTGCTACGCCATCCTCTTCGGACGCACGGTCTCCAGCAAGACGCCCAAATGCCCTACCGGACGCTTCCTCATGAACCTCTGGGCCATCTTCTGCCTGTTGGTGCTGTCGAGCTACACGGCCAACCTGGCTGCCGTCATGGTGGGGGACAAGACCTTTGAGGAGCTGTCTGGGATCCATGACCCCAAGGTGGGGGCTGGGAACGCTGAGGGGTCAAGGGTTGTGGTCAGGGTGGGATGGGTGCTGCGCTCAGCAGGACCTGGGGGTGACCGTCTCCAGCACACGCCCTTCTCTGGAGACTCAATTGCAGTGCTGGAAATGGAATCCATGTCCTTGTCCCATGCTGGGTGTAGACTGGACCCCAGCCCCTCACTGGGGATTCTGGGCGGGGCTACACCCTGACCACGCCCCCAGACCCTCACTGGGGGATTCTAGGCGGGGCTCCACCCTGACCACGCCCCCAGCCCCTCACTGGGGGATTCTGGGCGGGGCTCCACCCCTGACATGGCCTCCATTCTTAAGCATCAGTTCTTTAAAAAACTGCCTCCCGCTGCAGGGATGACAGGCATGCTGAATCACATCTGGCTTTATTTTTACCTTTCATGTCTTTGGGGTTCATGGTGTCTCACCGCCCCTTCCCTCTTTGGAATCTAGCTGGTCGTGTCCTGCTGACCTCACACACACACACACACCCAGCCTTGGCTACCCCTGCAACTAGGTGCTGCCCAATGCTCCAGCCACCAAAGTGGTTGATGGCCGTGGCCAGGTGAGGGCTGGGGAGTGGGGGCGAGAGCAGAGAGAAATGCTGTGTCTCTGGGGTTCAAAAGAGGGGCATTTGCGGAGCTGTGGTACTGAATCTCAGCTCAGTGAGAAGTCCCGGGTCAGGTAGGCCCTGGTGGGGACCCAGGCTGCCTGCTGAGCCCTCCTCCCCCTCCTCCCCCTCCGCAGCTGCACCACCCTTCCCAAGGATTCCGCTTTGGCACTGTGTGGGAGAGCAGCGCAGAGGCCTACATCAAGGCGAGCTTCCCGGAGATGCACGCACACATGCGGCGCCACAGCGCACCCACCACTCCACACGGAGTGGCCATGCTCACGTGAGTCTGTGGGGCACTGTGTGGCGTTGGGGGGTTGCCTGCCGCTCAGGGCCTGCTGACCTCACAGCATCCTGCCCCGCAGGAGTGACCCGCCCAAGCTCAACGCCTTCATCATGGACAAGTCGCTCCTGGATTACGAGGTATCCATTGATGCAGATTGCAAGCTGCTCACCGTGGGGAAACCCTTCGCCATCGAGGGTGAGTGCTGAGTGGGTTCCGGGGACCCCAGCTGGGGGTGCACGCAGCTCTCGTGGAGCCACCTCCTACCCGGATCAACCTCTCCAGGCTACGGCATAGGGCTGCCCCAGAACTCGCCGCTCACCTCCAACCTGTCCGAGTTCATCAGCCGCTACAAGTCCTCGGGCTTCATTGACCTGCTCCATGACAAGTGGTACAAGATGGTGCCTTGCGGGAAGCGGGTGTTCGCCGTGACGGAGGTGGGCAGGCGCCGAGACACAGGGTGGGGAGCTCTGGCTACGCTTGCGCGCATTCCTGCTCACCCCACACAGCCCCAGCACCCCTTCCTTCGAGAGATCTCCCTGCCCAGCTGCCCCGCCGCGGGGTCCACATCCCGACGCCATGTGGGGACCTTGTTGCCGTCCGCAGACGCTGCAGATGGGGGTCTACCACTTCTCGGGGCTGTTCGTGCTGCTGTGCCTCGGGCTGGGCAGCGCCCTCCTCAGCTCTCTGGGCGAGCACGTCTTCTACCGCCTGGTGCTGCCGCGCATCCGCAGGGGCAACAAGCTGCAGTACTGGCTCCACACGAGCCAGGTGAGGTGGCAGGGGCAGAGGAGGGCGGGCGGCGCAGATGGGCCCCCGGCGCCCATGACACCCTTGTCTGTCCCTAGAAGATCCACCGAGCCCTCAACACTGGGACGCCAGAGGGGCAACAGGAGAGGGCGGAGCAGGAGCGCAGGTGAGCTCGAGGCGGGGCGGGGGTCCCGGGCGGGGGCCAGGCAGGCTGTACCGGCCACCACCTCCTTCTCTCTCCGTCCTAGCGACCCTGGCCCCGAGGAGCAGCCGCGTGCAGCGGAGGGAGCAGGGCGCTGGAGGCGGGTGCGCAGGGCGGTGGAACGGGAGCGGCGCGTGCGCTTCCTACTGGAAACCGGGGAGGCCGGCGTGGATCGCCCGAGGCTCTGCTCCAACGGGCCCGGGCCGCAAGCCGAGCTGCGCGAGCTGGAGCTGCGGATCGAGGCGACGCGGGAGCGGCTGCGCAGCGCACTGCTGCGGCGCGGGGAGCTGCGGGCCCGGCTGGGGGACGGCGCCCGGCTCCGGCCCCTGCGCCTGCTGCAGGGGACACCCGCAGAAAGCTGAGGGACCACGCGGCCGCACTGTCCACGACAGTTTATTCTATATACAAACACGACTCTGTACACTGCAATTAAATAGCGTAGAACGTGCGCCCCGCGTCCTGAGCCGCCACCTGCGAGTCCGGGCCTGGGCGCTCGGCCCCGCGCGGGCGCCGTGAGGAAGGCACTGGGGAGCACCA